GACTGGCCTACCCTGAAACGGGATGCCCTCGAATTTGTGCGAAAATGTGATAAGTGCCAATGATTCTCTCCCGTTCAAAGGCGACCATCACAGGATTTGACTGCAGTCTCCAGCCCCTGGCCTTTCTCAAAGTGGGGTGTGGACCTGATAGGCCCTCTACCTAAGGGTAGAGGAGGCGCAAGCTTTGCAATAGTGGCCATTGATTACTTCACAAAGTGGGTCAAAACTGAACCACTGGCAAAAATCACAGAAGCAAACACCTCCAAGTTCCTATGGAAGAATATTATTTGCCGGTTCGGAATTCCCTACTCGATCGTCTCAGACAATGGCAGGCAATTCGATAACAAGAAGGTTAGAGAACTGTGTGAAGATCTTGGCATAAAGAAGCACTTCTCTACACCTCACCACCCACAAGCCAATGGCCAGGTCGAAGCCGTAAACAAGACAAACAAGCACGTCCTGAAAAGGAGGCTTGATGTATCCAAAGGAGCTTGGGTTGATGAGCTGCCCCAAGTACTTTGGGCAATCCGAACCACCACCAGGACCCCAACCGGGGAGACCCCATTCCTCATGGCTTATGGGACTGAGGCGATGAGCCCCGTGGAGGTCGGACTCCCATCTCCACGACGTCTGCACTTTAGTGAAGTGACCAACTCCACGACGTCTGCACTTTAGTAAAGTGACCAACGACGAGCTCCGGAGGCTAGACCTCGATTTCATTGAGGAAAGGAGGGACGACTCCCAGCTGAGGTTAGGCACCTACCAAAGGAAGATGACAAGGTACTTCAACTCCAAAGTGAAGAAGAGGTCTTTCCGAATCAACGACCTTGTGCTCAGGAGGGTCTTTCCATCTTCAAAAGATCCCGGTTCCGGCTCCCTAGGACCAAACTGGGAAGGTCCATACAAGATCAGAGAAGAAATCCGACCTGGGACCTATTGGATTGAAGACATGGACGGCAAGGCACAACCCCGTCCATGGAACATTGAACACCTCAGAATCTTTTATCAGTGAATTGTATCATGCTGGATGACTTTCCCTGCCTTTGTAATATTTTTATGGCTCAATAAAATGCGTTGATTAAATCGCATTACTACTTTAATAACCTCGGAGGAGAGGCTCGGGACCCACCACTGGGCCACCTCGCTTGGACTCCGAGGCTCTAGCACATGCCTCCCTTTTGGCCTTGCTGAACGCCAAGGGGAGAAGCCTCAACATGGCTGCACCATCCACCATGTCTGGGATGCGTCGTAACCTCGGAGGAGAGGCTCGGGACCCACCACTGGGCCACCTCGCTTGGACTCCGATGCTCTAGCACATGCCTCCCTCTTTGGCCTTGCTGAACGCCAAGGGGAGAAGCCTCAACATGGCTGCACCATCCACCATGTCTGGGATGCGTCGTAACCTCGGAGGAGAGGCTCGGGACCCACCACTGGGCCACCTCGCTTGGACTCCGAGGCTCTAGCACATGCCTCCCTTTTGGCCTTGCTGAACGCCAAGGGGAGAAGCCTCAACATGGCTGCACCATCCACCATGTCTGGGATGCGTCGTAACCTCGGAGGAGAGGCTCGGGACCCACCACTGGGCCACCTCGCTTGGACTTCGAGGCTCTAGCACGTGCCTCCCTTTTGGCTTTGCTGAACGCTAGGGGGAGAAGCCACAACCTTAAACCCGAGGCTCCAACAGATCTCCTTAAGTTATGTTCATTTTCTTAAGTCCGAGGCTCCAATAGATCTTAAGTTATGTTCATTTTCTTAAGTCCGAGGCTCCAACAGATCTCCTTAAGTTATGTTCATTTTCTTAAATCCGAGGCTCCAACAGATCTTAAGTT